CCAGCCACCAGCCACCCAGCCACCAGCCACCAGCCACCAGCCACCAGCCACCAGCCACCAGCCTCGCCAGCATCGTGATCATCGTAGGCGCGCAAAAAGGAATACGAGGAGGCACCGGACGGACGACAGGCCTGGAAGAGGGGGAAGGGGTACCTCCTGGCCGGAGGGGGAGGACGGCAGGACGAGCTCCTTTACCGCCACGAGCTCCCCCGTGCGCACGTCGAGGGCCTCGAACACCTGCGCGCCACACACACGACACACGACACACACACAACACACACGCACACGACACACACACGACACACCACAAGGAGTGAATTGGTGGCGGTGGCGGTGGTGGCGGTGGGGTGCGTACTGTGCCAAAGGCTCCTTTGCCGAGCATGGGTCCCTTTTGCCACAGCACGTCGGACGGGACCCGTGCGGGGGCTTCCGAGGGGTCGTCGCGGTCCACCCCACCCAATCGGTCCTTGGACGACGACGACGAGGAGGAGGAGGAGGAGGGAGAGGAGGCCTTGCCCGCACGAGGGCTGCTCCCTCGCCGCCCATCGTCGACGTAGGTGGGGCTGCTGGCCACGCCGGCCTCCGCCTCACCAGCAGCAGCAGCGAACGCTGCCCGCCCCCGCCCCTGCTGCTGGCTCTGCCTGTGCGGCGGGGTCGCTGGCGAGGCCATCCCCTCGTCTTGCTCGCCCTTCCCGCCGCCGCCGCCGCCGCCGCCGCCCTGGTGCATTCATCGTTCGTCCGCCCAAAATGGTGGGGGGAAGCAGCCGTGTGATGGCACGCCATGAAGAGGACAGATTGGGAGAGGAGGGGGGGGGCAGGAAAGGGGTCGTAGCGTACCCCCAGGGAGGAACGTGAAGGCCGGGCAGGAGCGAAGTTGAGGTAGAGCTTGAGGGTGGGAGGCGGCCCCGCAGCTGCTGCAAACCGGCGCAGCCCCAGATGCTCGAATGCCTCCCGCAGGTCCGGCTCCGAGCGGACGGTGATCAAGTCCCCCTCTGCCAATCGCCCACCACGCACCACCACGCACCACCAACCGCCCACCCAAAAAGAACAACCGCCCACCCACCACCCAACCAATCAAAACGAGGACACACGAGAAAGAAGGCAAGGAGGAGGGTCAGTTGCAGGCGCCGCTTTCCATCCGCCCCTGGGTTTGTCCATGGGCATCCGGTGGTGCATCCGGTGGTGCATTCGTGGGCAGCTGGCGTACCCTGGTCCCGATATTGGATGGCCAGCTGGGCGTCGGGAGGACACGCATGACCGTACTCTATCTCCAACTTCTCCAATAGGCCCGCATATCTAACACACACGCACACACACACACACACACACACACACACGACACACACCACACACGGCACACACGGACACGGCACAGGGACGAGGTCAGGCGAGAGGTTAGTGGTGGTTGAGAGGGGGCTGGGTGGGTCGGGCAGTTACCCGATGTCCGCGGAGAGGCCGAGCACGCGTATCTCCTCCTCCCAGTGGCACTTGAGGCGAATGGCCGCCCCCGCCCCCGCCCCCGCTCCCGAGGAGGAGCCGGTCGGTTTGGGTCGCGGTGGGTGGGCCGCATCTTCGCCCTTGCCCCGCCCTTTCTTCTTCTCGGCCGCCTTGGGCTGCTGCTGCTGGGTGGTGCGCGGCACGTGCTCCCCGCCATCTGCGGGGCCAAAGTCGAAGGCCGAGGAACGGTAGGCCCACACGTCGAGCCAGCACTCGTCCCGCTTGTCCTTGCCCCCCACCACGTACTGTGTCGTGTCGTGTCGTGTCGTGTCATGTCGTGTCGTGTGTCGTGTGTCGCGTGTCGTGTGCCGTGTGTGCCGTGTGTGTGTGTCGTGAGTCGTGAGTCGTGAGTCGTGTGTGTGTGTGTGTGTGTGTGTGAGTGAGAGAGAGAGAGAGGTGCGAGCAGCCAGAGCAAAGGGGGAAGGAACGGAGGTGTGATTGAGGGAGCTGAGAGCGGGCAAGGCCTGGTGCGTGTACCAGTGTGTCTCCCCAGCCGGCGCAGGCGTGGAAGTAGCGCGGGGCGGGTACTGCGCCCTCCTCGTATGTAACCTGCGACCACGTGCGCGTAACTGTGTATCGTGTGTGCCGCGCATTGGAGGGGGGGCACATCCACCGACACGCCACGAACAAGCCGGAGGTGAGCGGGCGAGGAGACATCGCGAACGAGGAGGTGGAGGAAAGGCAAGGGGTACGGAAGGAGTAGGCGTGGAGGTGGTTGTAGACGGTGGCGCCGTCGGTGCCGCCAAAAATGTACATGGCCCGCCGGTCCGCCACGGCCGTGTGGCCCCACCGCGGGGAGGGCGGAAGGCCCCGCGTGTGAACCGCGCCCCACCGCCCCGTGTCAAAGTGGTACTCGTACAGCTCGGCGCCGCAATTGCCTCTGATGACACACACGCGCGCGCGCGCACGCACGCACGCACACACGCACACACACACGCACACACACACCATGCGTGAGGCGAGGTATGTGGGTGGGTCGGAGTGGCGGAGGAGGAGGAGGGCGCGTACGTGGCGGACTTGCCGCCCCACACGAACATGGACCGGTCGTGCACCACCGCCGTGTGATGGTAGCGCGCGAGGCCCTCCACCCGCACCGAGTCTGCCTTCTTCCACCGGAGGGACGGGCGAGAGAGGCGCCACACGTCGTCGCACACGAACCCGTGCTGACACAGCGCCCCACCCCATACACCATACCATAACCAGATATTACGTCAACAGAGTTACCTACTAGGCGGGAGGGCGGGCAGATGAGTAGAAACGGGGCGGTGGTGCGTGAAGAAAGAGGTACCTGGTCGTAGCCACCGAAGACGTAGAGGTGGCGGCCGAAGGCGATGGCAGAGTGACCGTAGCGTGCGAGGAGGCCCGGCGGGGGTGGCGCGGGCGACGAGGGGCGGAGCCAGGCGTGGTGGGGAGGCGGCGCATAGGTGGCCAGGTCGTTGTGGTACCCGTTCGACTTGCCACCGTAGACCCACACCTCGTCCACGACGCCGCCGCCACCGCCGAGGCTGCTGCTGCTGCTCTGAATCGCCACCACCGCGTGGAAGTGGCGGGCAGGCGGCGCAGGCCCCGACGGGCCCTTCATGGCGGCCCACCGGCGGCGCCGCAGGTCGAACACGCTCACCACAAGGCCACCCCCGAACCCGCCCGCCCCATCGGCCCCGCCCACCACCTGTGCGGCGGCGGCGGTGCACCCCCAGACCAAGCCACCGCCGGTGGTCAAGTCAGCCACACCACCACGCCCCCCCGCCCCAAACGTACAGAGGCAGCGCAGCAGCAGTGCAACGGGTTTGGTGGGGGGAGGGGTGTTCAAGAGGCGCGACACATGTACCACGAGGGTGGGCTGCTGCTGCTCTGAACGGGCGGCTTTCCCGCCCCCTGGCGGAACGGCGGCGGCGACGAGTACAGCGGCGTGGCCGTATCGCCCCTCGCCGTCGGTGCCGCGGCCCTGCTGCAGGCTCGTCCATAGGCCCACTGGCAGGAGCGGGTCGTCATCGTCGCGGTCGCCCTCCATGTGTGTCTCTCCCACTTCAACCTCGACTCCCTTGGGCGGCGTTTCCGTCGCCTTTTCCTGAGCCCTTTTCTTTTTGTTCCGTGTGCCCCAGCGGCCTCTTTTCGGCGGAGAGGTCGAAGCAAAAGGCAAAGGAGGAGAGGAGCATGAAGGGCGGAGCAGCAGCGACGGGCCAGGCCAAGAGCAGGCAGGGGGATGACCTCCTCAAGGAGGGCGACAAATGGTGCGTCTCACGCCGTACAGAGGGAGAGGAAAGGGGGGGGGGATTCTGCAGATGGCTGGGTGTGCTCAATCGCGCGCGTGGGTGGTGGCCATGTTGTTCATTCGTCGTCGCGGCGGGGGTGGGTGTGGCAGCGCGCGCACCTCTCTCTTCAAGTGGACGCCCGACTGGGAAGGCGCCTTCATGGCCTACGAAAAGGCCGGTACCCGTGGCCCTCCTTGCTCCCCCTCCCCCCAACTTGGTGCACGCAGCTGCGCACCTTCTTCTTCTTCTCGCGTGCGGACACCTCACCTCGCCTGGGTGCCGTGTGCCAGCGCTGTGCTTCAAGGCGGCCAAGGACCAGGACAAGTGCAAGCACGCCCACCTCAAGGCGGCCGATGCCCAGTACAAATGCAACCTGTACCACCACCGCTACCACCACTACCACCACTACCACCACTACTACTACCACACCCTTCCTTCTGCCCCAAGCCATAGTCGTGTCCCTGGCCACCACCCACGCTACTACTACTACTACGCGCAGCAGGCTGCAGCGCAAGCTCCGTCGTCGTCGTCGTCGTCGTCGTCGTCGTGGTCGTCGTACTAATACTAGCGGTGGCGCGGTGCGTGCCACGTGGGGTGGGGGGCAGGGTGCACGGGGCAGCCAAGAACTACGAGGCGGCCGGGCACTGCGCGAGAGAGCAGAAGAACTGGGAGGAGGCCGTGGACTACTTCCGCAAGGCCTCCTCTCTCTACACCGAAAACGGCACCCTCGAGAAGGTACGCCTGACAGACCCCCCCCCATCCCAATGCCTGCCCCTCAGCTCCTACGCTCGCGCCTGCAGGAGGCCAACGCCCCCTCCTCTTCCTTTCCTCTCCTAATCGCGTGATTGGGCCGTGCGTGGCACAGGCCGCGGAGGTGCTGACTCAGGCGGCGCGTGGCCTCGAGGACAGCAATGCCGATGCCGCTGCCGACCTACTCTTGGAGGCTGTCGATCTGCTCGAACAGGACTCCAAGCGAGGCGCTGGTACGTACCCCCGCGCGCCATCCTTCCCCTCTCTCTCTCTCTCTCTCTCTTGTGGTGTGTGGTGTGTGGTGTGTGTTTACGGTCCCATGCCCCCGTCATTTCCAAACGAATCCGTGGTTGGTTGGTCTCCACCAGGGGACGCCTTCAAGCGAGCCACTGCATTGCTTATCAGAAACCAAAGGTCGCCTCCACGCGCGCGCGCTCTCTCGCTTGGGCGCTGTTTTTGTGTTGGCGTCTCTCACTCACGCCGCACCTCCCCCCGTGCGAACGTTTGTCATCGGTGCCGCCGCACTCATCTCCACAGGATCGAGCGTGCGATCGGGGTGGTGGGCAAGGAAATCGAGTTCCTGCAGAGCAACAGCGAGGGCGGCAAGGGGCTGCACGAACTCCACAGGAGCCACCTGGCCCTGGTGATCCTGCACCTCCACCAAAACGACTACGTGGCCGCCGACAAAGCCTACAACCAGGCTCTCTCGTACGCCCGCACCCACCCACCCACCCCACTCCACCCCATCCCACCACCACCGGGGAGGACCGCCCCGCGTTGCCCCATTCCAGCATTTCCCTCCCTCGTCGTCTCCTCACCCGTGGCCACCTCGTGGATGGGTGGATGGGTGGGGGCACGCGCGCGCGCAGGTGCGAGGGCTTCGCGCCCTCCAACGAAGGCCGGGCTGCAGCAGAGCTGCTCGAGGCGTTCGAGAATAACGCGCCCGATACGCTGCAGGCCTGCCTCTCGCGTCAGGTGTTCACCTTCCTGGACGGACCGGTGCGCGTTCCCTCTTTTCTCCAACCAACCCGGGTTGCCCACGGGTGTATCGTGTGTGTGTGTGTGTGTGTGTGTGTGTGTGTGCGGCAAGCGCTGAGAGTGAGCTGTCTTCTGTCGCTGCGACTACGATGGCGGCCTGGCAGGTTCTCCGATTGGCCCGCGGCCTGCACGTCAACGATAGCGCAGCCTCCGGGTCATCGTCGTCGTCGTCGATGGCACCGCGGCAGCAGGGTGAGACAACGGACCTGCGCGCGCAGCTGCTCGCTCGGCCCGCCGCCCCGGCCAGGTGCGTTCTGCCTCCACCCCCCAAATCACCCAATAAAGCCACCATGCTGCTGCCACTTGCTGACTTGTCCTCACGCCGCAAATGTCCCCAACAACAACAACACAACGCGGTGGTGGTGGTGGTCATGGTGGTGGACGTGGTATCTATCTATATATCGCTATAGTGTGCCGCCAAGCCAGCAAGAGAATACCGCCGCCGCCGCTAAGGGAGACGACCATAGAGAGGACGAGGACGAGGAGGAGAACGAGGACGAGGAGGACGAAAAGTCGATCTTGCTGTGATCTGAGATGGAATGCGCGCGTCCGGTGCGGCCGCCAATACAACGAGGCAGTCTGCTCGCGAGGTGTGATTGGGGAAACACAGACGGGTCTCTCGAGAGGTCAGTGTGGGGGCGGGCTGTAGTCGTAGTCGTAGTCGGCGAAGGGCTGTGGCTGGTGGGCGTGGGCGTGGGTGTGATGGTGCGGATGTTGGTGCGGGTGCAGCTGTTGGGGGGCGGGCATCCACTGCTGCGGCTGCTGCATCGGGTGGTGGTGCTGCAGCTGCTGTTGCTGCTGCTGCATCGGGTGGTGGTGATGATGATGATTGTGGAGATCCGGAGGAGCCGTCACGTAGGGGAGAGGCTGCACGTGGTGGTCCTGGCCCATAGGCTGAGGGAGAGCGCCGTTGAAGCCGGCCGGGGCGGAGAGTGGTGGTGGCGCGGCATACGACGAGGACGACGATGATGCGAGGGGCGGCTGAAGGACGGCGGAGTAGGCGGGCGTCGAGGAAGAGGATGGAGTAGAGGGGGCGGCTGGCGCTGGCGCTGGTGCGGTGGAGAACAGCTTTTGTTTCTTGTAGGGGTTGGTCGCAGAGGCGTCCAGGATCACATCGTCCTCGTCGTCCACGGGCGGCTCTTCGGCCGGTGTGACGGGTCCCTGCTGCTGCTGCTGCTGCTGCTGCTGCTGCTGCTGCTGCTGCTGCTGCTGGGCAGAAAGGTGTACGGGAGCTGCGTAGGTTGGTGTGGTGGTTGATGTTGATGATGTGTTGGCTGTTGTTGTTGTTGCTGCTGCTGCTGCTGCCCAACAGTGGCGGCAGAGGCAGAGGAGGCAGACGGAGTGCCGCCCATAGAGGCTGTGCCGGGCTGGCGGGGACGATCGGGGATCGGCAGTGAGGGGTACTGGCTCTGTGGGAACAGAAGCCACCACAAGCACACGACACGGCACTGCGCATCAGCTGATGCCGTTGCTGTGGGAGCGCGGGGGAGGGGGGGGGGTGGAGCGTGGCCAGTTGGAGTGGAGTGGTGGGCCGGGCCTAACCTTGATCTGGTTTTTGAGCTCCTCGGCTCTGGCCAGCTGTTGGAGGCAGTCCTGGAGTACGTTGGTGGTTTGGTTCATGGTGTTCTCCTGCTGGACGATGCACTCGGTGAGCATGGTGATGAAGTTCCCTCGCTTCTCCAGGTCGCTCTCCAAACTCCGCCGATACTGGTCAAGCACGTGGCTGGCTTCGTTGATCTCGTCAGCGAGTGCTGCGATGTCCTTGGGATCTGCGTCCACCACCGCACACGCACCACGGCACCCGCCGACGCGTGAGTCACTGTGGACGATGGGCTCTCGAGGCACACGCGCGTGCACCTACGCGTAGGGGTGGGTGAAGGAGGTTGATGACGCCACGCCCACGCCCACGACCCTGGAGGTGGGGGGAGGGGTACGGGTGGCTTGCTTCAGAAGGCGCCCGTCCATGAGGCCCGTGCGGAGGTTGGCCACCTTCTCTGCGCTGAGGTCTTGGGCGATGGCCGCCTCCTCCAGATCGCGCATGGCCTTGGCGATGGCCGTTTCCTTGCCAAAGGCCATCTGGATCTGGCCGCCTTCCCCGGTGGAGGATCCCGCCTGCGCCGCCGAACAACGCCACGCGAGCCGTGACGGTGGTGGTGGTGGTGTGTGGTGTGTGGTGAGTTACATCACACCACGTCACACCACATCGGTAGCTACGGGCGTACGGGCCGTAGTGGTTTGGGGAGGAGGAGGAAGAGGGGGGGGGACACAACCGCCATGCGGCAGAGGGGAGGAGGAGGACGGTACCGGCGTGGTGGCGGCGGTGGCGGTGGCGTGCGTGCTGTTGGCCTTCTCCAGCAGCTGAGCCTTGAGCGTGTCGATAAAGTCCTTGGCGTAGATGTTGCGCTCCACCCAGATGTCCAGCATTCGCCCGATTTGCCTCTTCACCTTGTCGTTGGAATCACTGCGTTTGGTTTTGTCGTGTCGTGTCGTGTCGACGGGCGCGGTGAGACCCCAGCGAGGCGTGTTGCCAGGTCAGCCCCACAAAAAGCGAGAGGAGAGGAGAGGAGAGGAGTCAGCAGCAGCACCAGTAGACGAAGACCATGCACGGCTCCAAGAACTTGGCAAACTCTTTGATGAACTCGTTCCCCTTCTTCTTGCTGGTCTGCACGATATCGTTGGCCAGCCAGAGGAACAACAGGCGCCTGTCCTTGGGGGCTAGAGAACGAGAGCGAGCACAGCCGGCATAAGCGAAAAGGAGCCCCCGGGGGGAGGGTGAAGCAGGGGCGTCGCCTTCTGGCGAGAGGCACCAGTGAGGTCAGGGAGGCGCACCCTTGAAGAGCTCGCGTTTCCATATTTCCACACTGGTGTGGTGCCGCTTCCGGTGGTACATGATCCAATGCGACAGAGCTGCCCCGCACCAACAACCACAATGTACACCAAAGAGCAAGCGCACAGTGTAAAAATTGTGAGGGAAGAATTCGGATGCCTAATTGATTGATTTGAATGAAAATCGGCAGGGGAAGAGGATAGAACGAACTTTGTATGCTCTGCTGGGAGTCGCTAAGCAAGCGCAGCTTGTCGATGAGCACCTGCTCGGTGTAGGCCGACATGATCTTGCGCTATGTTTGTTTTCTCTTTTTTTTTCTTTTTTTCTTTTGGACCCAACAGTTCCGTTGCCTTTGGCGGGAAAACAAGGAGAGCAGCGTTGCCAACTCGAGGTGGCCACGAGCAGCTCAGTAGATTGTAACCTTCTTGCCCACCCACAATAGCCACCATGCAAAGTCGCCGCCCTGTTCCGACCACAACCGCCCCGAAGAAAAAGACCGCCACGACCACCAGCTCGGCTCGTGATGGCTCCGTTACGAAAAGGTAGGCAAGAGATTTGGATTGGGGAGGGGTGAGCCTGCACTCTCACACACGGTGCTAACTGCGATATAAATGCCACACCACCAATCGCGTGTTATTACGAATCGACCTTTCGTCGTGTACAGATTGCAGTCGGAGCTGATGGGCCTGATGACAAGCAAGCAGGCGGGCATCTCAGCGTTCCCGGAAGGGGGCAACTTCCTGACGTGGGCTGCCACGATCGTTGGGGTGGAGGGCACGCCCTACGCTGGACAGGCCTACAAGTTGTCCCTCCGCTTCCCCAGTGGCTACCCTTTCGCCCCGCCCGTGGTTCGATTCGAGACGGCGTGCTTCCACCCCAACGTCGATCAGCACGGCAACATCTGCCTCGACATCCTCAAGGACAAGTGGTCGGCCGTCTACAACGTCTCCACCATCCTCCTCTCCATCCAGAGTCTCCTTGGCGAACCCAACAACGACAGTCCCCTCAACCCGACCGCCGCAGCCCTCTGGCCCACCCAGGAAGGTACGAGCACCCACCACCGCCGCTACCCCGCCGCCGCCACCGCTGGCCAGTCGTTCGTTGTGTGTTGAGCGAGCCACGTGACTCACGCACGCTCTCCGCGCTGCTTGCAGAGTACAAGGGGACCGTGGAGCGCAAGTACCGCGAGGCCACCGCCAACTGCAGGGAATAAGCTTTGCTGCAGCCTCCCCTCGAACGAGCGACACGAGCTCCCCGTCGCGTGCCGCTGTGGTAGCGCAGCGTGGTGGGTGGAAAACTGTACATAACAAAAAGAATATAAATAAAAAAGGAAAAGCAGAGAGAAATTGGCAACAAGAAAGAAAATCAGCAGAAAAAAAGGGAAGTACGTGCTGCCATAACGGCCAAGGCCGCCACGCACACATGGAGACCGCCGCGAAGGAGCTCGTCCTCAAGAAAGACGAAGTGGAGCGAGAAATACAGGAGCTCACGGCCTACCTCACGGCACCTGGAATGCCAGGCCTCTCTGGGGGACTCGTTGATCGCGAAGGCTACCCGCTTGCGGACGTGGACAAGATCATAGCTGTGCGGCAGGCCCGCCACCGCCTGGCATGTACATCTACCCTGAGGCCTCGCTGCTGCTTCTCAACCCCCCCCCCCTTTGGTGCAGCTCCATGAAGGCGTGGCCACTCACGTCAAAGAAATTGTGTGTGTGGTCTATGTGCATTCTATTTTGCAGGCCTGCAAAACGACCACAAGGGCCTCATGGCCCAGATCGAGCGAGAGCTGCACACCTTGCACGCTGTCGGCAAAACCCGTGCTCCACCCCTCTCGTCGACAGCAGCGGCGGAAGCAGCGTCTTCTGCCCCTGCGGCGGCGTGCGCCGCTTCCGACGAGAGCACCGCTGGATGGCACCTGAAGAAGCCCATCGCGCTTATCGACCAGGTGTCGGACTCTTCTCCCGCCCACACTGCAGGGCTGCGCCCTGGTGACGTCCTCTTGCGCTTTGGCTCCGTCGGTACGGCAGCCGCCTCCCAGCGATGAGTCACTCCCACGTACCGCCAGTGCTTTGATTTGGTTTTGCCGAGATGACCACCTTATCACTCTCTCCCTCTCTCATATGTCTGTGTGTGTGTGTGTGTGTTCTATTTGCTGCTGTAATAATTCCAGTGCACGACGGGTCGTCCGGCGGAAGCGCGTCGCCCTGGCTGGGCCACATTGCGCAGGTGGTACGCGACAGCGAGGGACGTGAGGTGGCACTCTGGGTGCGACGGGGCGAAAATCAGCACCTCCGCCTCATCCTCGTGCCGCGCCCCTGGGCCGGCCGCGGGCTCGTTGGGTACAAGCTAGCCTCCCACCACCCACGTGCCCTCCTGCCTCCTCCCCTCCCGATTGCTTTTGGTAGTGGGGCGGGTGGGCGGGTCGAGAAGGCTGCAGGTGCATCTCCTAATCCGCCACCTCGCGTGCGCGTGCAGGTGCCACATCGTGCCCCTTCCCGTGTCGTGAGCCCGCGAAAGAAATAAAACTTCCCAAAAGGAAAGCAAAGGAAAAGCACCCCAAAAAACAAAAAGGGGGGTTATGGTTTGAACCAACGTAGAGGCCAGTTGTTGCGAGGATGCGAAGAGCATTTGGTGCGGCCTGCCGCCGCATATCCACCACGAGGCCCCTCAACGCGCGAGGAGGGGCGTGTTATGCGAAAGGGCTGCTGGGCCGCTGTAAGACAACAACGCCCAGGAGTACTACTACTTCACCAGCAACAGGGGCCGGTCGACATGCTGGTCCGCCACGGTCCTGCAGGACGAGCAACAACGGCAGCAGCGGCGGCAGGGATCCCAGCGCTGGAGTCGCCACGACGAGTTCAGCGGCAGCTTCGTCACGCACGACACGCCTGCTGGCGCTGGCAGGTGCCGGCCTGAATGGTGTGGTGGACTGGCAGCAGCTGGCTGGCGTGGTGGATGCGGGGCCTTTGCGACCACCGAACCCTCGCGCGACCTGTGCGTGGCCACACACTGCTCCCCCACTTTCCTCCACTCCCTCCCTACGCCTGTGCTCGCCAGCTCTTTTCTCCGACGATGTCGCCACCTCTCGTCTCGGTAGGCTGCTGAGCAAGTTGTGCGTGAGCCCCCCCCTCCACCACACCCCAACCCAACCCAACCTTTTGGTGTTCAAGACACCTGACCCTTCCTCCATGTCTGTCGCCCCGTGGACCACGTGGTTGCGCGCTCCAGGTGGCACGGGGTGCTGCTGGGGCTGCGGGCAGCGGAGCTGTGCGTGCGCTTCGCGCCGCTGGTGGTGCTCTACCCGGTGTGCGTCTACGTGCTCCCCACGTGGGCCGAGGACCTCTGGTACCGACTGCTGACATGGAGTCTTCGCCACTCTGGTCCCTGCTTCATCAAGGTATGTATGTAATGTATTTAATGTATGTGAGCCCACCTCCTCCCTCCCTCCCTCCCTCCCGGTACGAGCGCTGGACTTATGGCCAGCGCCCTCTTCCCACTCACCCCTCTGACGTAACGTGGCGGTTTGTGGGACGCACGCACGCACGCACGCACGCACGCACGCACGCACGGTAGCTGGGACAGTGGCTGTCGACGCGTCGCGATCTGCTGCCGGAGCACCTGTGCCACAGGCTGGCTGGGCTGCGCAGTCAAGCACCAGCTCACGCCATGCGCCACACGCGGCGCGTGTTCAGAAAGGCGTTCGGGCGGGACATCGGACAGATCTTCTCCCAATTCCCCACCACGCCGATTGCCTCGGGAGCCGTGGCCCAGGTTGGTGTCCCCCTCTTGGCCGCCGCCGCCGCCGCCAGAGTGGCAATTACAATGGCTGACGCAAGTTCTCTCCTCGTCCTCCTCTCTCGTCTGTTTACGCGGTGTGTCGTGTGTACGCCCATGGCCTCATGCGCGTACCTCTAGGTCTACCGGGCCACACTGAAAGCGCCGATCGATGGCGTGTCCGAAGTAGCCGTAAAGGTGAGGCATCCGCACGTGAGGGAGCACATCACGCGCGACCTCGCCCTCCTCCAAGGCCTCGTGTGCGTCATCGAGTGGGTCTGGGACGCGCCTTGGCTTCAATTGGGCGCCAACGTACAGAACTTTGCATCCAGGTACGCCCTCCCCGCCTGGGTGGGGCGTGGTGGCGGCTCATCGCTCACGCACTCTCGCTTTTGACCCTCCCCAAATATTATTCATCGTCATCGATTATTCTCTCTGCGCGCGTGTGCACGTGTGTGCGTGGACCACGCGTGCATTCATGTATGCCGGGCCTTTGAATTCTGCAGGATGAGCGCCCAATGCAATTTGGCCGTGGAGGCGGGCAACCTGGTCCACTTTAAGCAGAACTTCAGGGACGCCCGGTCCATTCGGTTTCCCACGCCCGTGGAGGGTTTCTATCATCCTCTCGTGCTGGTCGAGTCCTTCGAGCCTGGCATCCACGTCGAACGGTATTACCATTGGCGCTCGCCGCTCGCAAGCGACCGCTCTTCGCACCACGCACCACGCACCACGCACCACGCACCACGCACCACGCACCACGCACCACGCACCACGCACCACGCACCACGCACCACCCCATGCACGCATGCGCGCGGTGCCACCAGGTTCACCCGAGAGGACATCGCCCCTGACGTCCGCAAAACCATAGCTTCAGGTTGGTTGATTATGGTTGGTTATGGTTGGGGCACTCACATACGCCCCGGACCCCTCTAGTCCGAGCTCACGGCTAATCGATCTTCTCCTTTTTGTCACGCCGCAGTGGGGATGGACGCCTTCTTGAAGATGATGTTGGTCGACAATTTTGTCCATGCCGACCTGCACCCGGGGAACATCCTCGTGGACGACGGCCGGGACGCGGGTTCGTCACCGCAGGTCGTGCTCCTCGACGTGGGCCTCATCACTCAGCTCTCCGAGAAGGACAGGGACAACTTCCTCAAGCTCTTCTCGGCTGTGGTCGCAGGTGAGCCCCTCTTGACTCTCCTCGGCCGGTGTAGGGCTAACGCACTGTTTCCACCTCCTTGGCACACACACACACACACTGCGGCCAGGCGATGCTGCCTTGGTAGGCCACCTCATCACCGATGGGCAAGATCACCTCACGCCTCAGGTGGTCCAACAGTTTACTGGTGCGCGCGTCCCTCGCGCTTGTCCCTCCACTCATTCCCATTCCGTTTCTGACCCCTCGTTGGTGAACACCACCATGCACCTTCCTGGCGCATCAACACTCGCGAGTACAGAGGAGGTGGGCCGGCTGATGGCCAAGGTCAAACTCACCCGGCTCGACGAGGTTCCGCTCTCGGAGATCTTTTTCGAGATGCTGAGCATCGCACGAAGGAACAAGGTCATCCTGGAGGCCAACTTTACAACATTGATCATCGGCACCGTGGTGATTGAAGGTATCCCCCCCCCTCCTTCGTCCGTGGTAAGTGCGGGCGGCCCTCACCACCGCGTGCACCTGGGCTCACACGTGCGTGCGTGTGCCTGGTACCGTAGGCCTCGGTCGACAGCTCGACCCCGATCTCAATCTCCTGCAGCGGGCGGTGCCCCTACTGGTGAAGGACCGGGCCATTCGGGATGCCTACATCAAGGCCCGCCTCTCGGCCCGGCTGCCCTCGCTCTTCCGTCCGACGTCCGTGTGAACTCGCAGACGGTCTGTGTCCCCGCCGAGGACTCCAAGTACGGCGGAGCGTTGTTTATTTTCTTGGATCGACCACGCGTGCGGTGCGTGCGTGCTGGCGGTTCTCCCCACAATCAAGCTTGCGTCATCCACCGCCATTGCTGTACAAGAGCACCAGCGCTGGTAACGCACCGGTGATGATTAAAGTCGCAGGACCTTGATCTCCAGCCTCTCCACCGTGGTCGTGGTGGCCACCGGAGCCCGATGGAGAGTGAGCAAGGCCGCAGTGCCATATGCAGCGCCATCCACAGCAAAGCCCGGGTTCACGCACGCTGCTCCTTCGACGACCCGCGCAAAAGGCGAAAGGCAAGAGGGCACCACGAGCACCTGTTTTCCGCCACACACGCGCGCGGGTATGCGTGCATTGCCGCACAGGCTGGTCAGATGGCACTGTACGTAGAAAAGAGAGCAAAGCGACGTACATCTGGCACGTAGGGCAGCTCCGTCTTAAAAAGCTGCGTCGAGTCCAGGGGCACACCCGGCGCGGGCGGGTGCACAGGGTAGAAGCTGCCCTGTTTGAGCAGGTGGCCAGCCAATCGGGCAGGGTGCCGTTCTTCGAGGTGATCTCCCCTGGTGAGGTAGACAGTAGACAGCAGACAGCGACCCACAGGGTCAGCGTCACTACCGACTGGCGTGAGGTGGGCGGGAAGGGGTTGGTGCGCACTTGACGAGCTCCTGCCGTGCGATGTCGGCCAAGACATCGTGGGAAGTGAGGCCTAGGGCAAGGCCATTGATACGCACAAGGCTCGGGTTGGCCACCAGATGAAGTCCTCGCTGTTTGCCTCCCTGGTCCACCGCGTCAAGGGATGAGGCCGAGGCCGTGTGGACCGGTGGTTTTCAAGAAAGCCGCAGAGGAGAAGGCTCATACCGAAGTGTCGTAGGGGGGCTGAGGGTACACGGTGTGGTGATGGGCGTCGCGTAGCGACGGGACCAGGACGAGCTCCGGCGTGCTGTGCAGAGAGGAGAGAGAGGCGCGCAGAGGCCGAAGCAAGTTCTTCTCAAAGATCACCTCGAAGGGCGTGTCGGGCACGCCGAGAGAGCCCGATTCCCAGATCTACATCACGCAGCACCGGTGAGCCGCCAGAGACAGAACATCAGTTCTTGTGTCGTGTGTGTGTCGTGTGTGTGTCGTGTGTGTGTGTCGTGTGTGTGTGTCGTGTGTGTGTGTCGTGTGTGTCGTGAGAGAGAGAGAGAGAGAGAGGAGCCCCGGTGCAGGCTCGGTGGCAGCTCGCAAAGCGCGGAAAGGGTACCTGAGCGTCGACGAACGGACCGAAGAGAATGACGGCATGCACGGCGTGCACCTTGGCTACCTCGACGATGGCAGGGAGAGCCGAGGACTGATACGACCACTGAGCGTATAAGCGACGAAAATAAGGAACAGTTAGCCGGCTTGTTCTGGGTGGTGGCGTGTGCGCGTGCGTGTGTGTTCACACTGACGCAGTGGCGGTCAGTCGCCCGTACATCTTTCGAGGTTGCCACGGTGTAGGGTCCCGCGGCGACCAGAGCTTTTAAGTGGGTCGACGGCGGAGGAGCGAAAATCGAGGGAGAGCGGAGAGGTCGAGCGTCATCAAAAAGTCGCTGGGCAACGAGCTTTTTGCCATCCAGGTTGGATCCCTCGACGCCGATTACCTGACCGGGGAAAAGGCTGCAGGAGTCGATCGACCGAAGATCGAGCCTGGTGCATCTCTCTTGTCAGTGGACAGATCATGCAGCTGTATGGAAACACATAGAGCTGTAGAAATCGACCAAGCGCGCCAGACAGATCTTGTGGATCGCCCAGCTGCCTGAGGCAAAAGAAGAGAGGGCGTACCGGGTGCGAGGTTGACCACTACCCACGGTGCTCTGGACGTAGACGCCCAGCTCGTCTATGGAGGACTCGCCGCTGCCTGCCTTGACGCATACGCGGGCCACGCAGTACAGCTTCTCGCTGTGCACGTGCATTGAACCCACGCCGGGGAAGCCGAATCGCTCGGCCAGCCGCTCGCCAGTTCTGGTGAGCGCGTCATCGAAGGAGTGCGTGCGGGCAACGGCTTTGTCGCTCTGGTATCGGTACGGATGACCTCCCGTGCTGCCCCCCACCACCTCCACTTCTGCCGGCGCCGCCTCTTCCCCTTCTCCTCCCTGGCCGGCTTGGGGCACCTCGCCGCCTCCCTCCCCGACTGTCTCCTCTCCAGAAGAGGATAGTGGAAGAGCGGCGTCAGGGAGCAGGTGTGCTTCCACCTTCCCGCTGGGCGCTCTTCGCTCCAGCGCCGCCATGCCGCCCGGCGGGACTGTTGAACTCCCGGCCCCTCGGGACATCCGCATCGCCGCGCCGTCCACTTCGCCGCCTCCGCCTCCCCCCTCGTCCTTTCCTTGGGTGCTGCCCCTTGCTCCCACTTCGCGCGGTGGACCCTGCAGCAGCTCTCTGCGACCCCCCTCCCCGCCCAAAAACATAAAGCGCGCGCACAGTTCGGCACGGAAGGGCACAAGAAGAGAGAAGAGGAGGTCAGGAATATACCTGTCGGTGGTCCGGGCGCCAGCAAAGGCTCTGCGGGCAGGTTTGGAAGGTCGGGCAACGGCGTTGGCCTTCAACCACTCTTCGAAGCGTGTCATGAGGGCAGAGGTGGGGGTAGAGCTCTGCCCAACCTTTTCGTTGATGAGGAAAGACTCCCATTTGATAGCCAAGTCGCTCGGAGACTGGCCATGGACGGTACAGAGTTGGAGAGCCCTATTAACGAGAGCGCCGTCGTTAAGATCTTGCTTGATTGCTGCAAACTCGCGGCGCAACTCTGCCTCTCTGCCTGCCATTGCCGTTGCGCTTCGTCCTACTTCGGAAAGAGAAATGGATTAGCTTGTTCCCGCCAAAGCCGCAAAAGGCGGGAAAACCAGGCTCTGACGTAAGCATTGGTGTCGACAATTGCTGCTGGCGACAACGCGGCACGTGCTGGCGGGGAGAAATCAGATTGTGTAAAGAGATTGACTGTCTTGCCGGCCTCCTTGCCAGGACAGAGGACAGGATCTCGGCCAAGATGTCCCAACATCGTCCGCACGCCAGCGCCACTCCCTATGAAGGTACTCTATGCAAGCCTTACCTCCTCCCCACATTCTCCTTCCCAGTTTTCATGGCGATTTGAACCTGGCCCTCCCCCCCCAAGCAGATGAATCCGCATCAAGTAATGTACGACTGCGAGCTCACTCCAACGCATCGCCCCCGCACCAGCAGCCCACGCCTCCAGCTAGCAAAGGACCCTCACGCTCGAGCCCAACGCGCAGCTCACCATCGCGAGGCTCGCGTGCTCGTCCTTCCGCTCCTCCACCTGGGCTGTACAGTCGCCCGCATAGGGCACAGCCACCCTACTCAGCAGCTACTGCTACTTCGTCGTGGGTAGGCGCACGTGGGAGAGAGTACACGGATGCGCTCGGGGAGCCTGTGGACGCGTCGAACACTGCCAGCAAGCACGTGGCGGAGGGCACGCGCCCTCTACGCGACGAGTCGTCGTTCATTGACAACTTCTTTGCGAGCGGGGAGACGGTTCTAGTTGCGCCTGCAGCTCTTAGACCAGACGCTCAAGTCGAGGATGCTACGAGCGACGTTAACCATCACCGCGACGAAGAAACAGGTGGAGCAATGACCGACAGCGACGTTCTCGGCGTCCGTGTCCCTGGTGTTGGTCATGCCAGCACCAGCACCAGTGCAAGCTCTGATGCCGCCGGGACTCCCACGCGTACCCAGTCTCGGTTCAGTAGCTGGTTCCATGAGCCGGCCCAAGAAGGCATGCTTCCCTGTTGTGCCGCGTCGATGCTTCCTCGTTTTGTTTTTTCTTCCCTCCTCGCTGATGCGTGACCACCACGCCACGGACCTGCCACTCACATACTCGTCATGGCGCGCATCCAACAGACCCTGAGAGAGACGGCCTGACAGTCACCGGTTGGGATAATAGAAAGGCACAATTCCCTAGCGTCACGCCCGAGTCTGGTTCGTGGCGGCGCCGGCCTTCAGATCCACCTCGCAGGTGAATTTTGACCTACCCCCTCTCCATGCCATGGTTCTTCCTTATGCTCGCCCATGCCTTCTGCGCGCTTCAATGCGGCGTGTGGTGGTGTTGCTGACGTGGGTGTGCAGGGAAGAGCGGCCTGCCGACAATACCAAATCCTGGCGCAGAGGGCCGCCTGGGGTAATGCCAGCCGAACCGGTCGTTCGTGGCGCTTCCTCTTCTCTGGGGCACTCGGCGACTCGACCCGCCATCGGAAAGGAGAAGGACCAACAACGGAAGCCCCCGCGGCCGAGAGATCGCGGCAGAGACGAACCAGAGGACAAGAAAAAGAAGGACGGCAGTAGCAGGCGATCCGTGGCACCTCCGCCCGGCTTTGCTTCGGCGGGTGAACAAAAAGTACGCACGCGCTCTTGGGCACAAATCTGGTCATGTACTGACTCGTAGCGCCTCTGTCCTACTGCTGCAGCGTATCAGCCCGCCGCCTGGATTCGGCCAAGACCTAGCCATAGCCAAGGAAAGTCAACCAGCCGACTCGCCCACCGCCGTCCCTTCCCCTCTACATAGAGACAGCAGCCAAGACGCAACAGAAACCATGGCGTCGGTACGACAAAGAACCACGCGTCATCTGACTGAAACCTTTCTGACTCAGTCCACCACGACCACCTCATCGTCTCCCAGCAGCACGACGTTGACCACATCTCCGCGGTCGCGAAGACTTCCAATTCAGGAAGTATTCCCACCGACCATCCTCAGCAGCCTGAGGTGGGGTCCCTCCTTGGATCTGCCGCGCCACACATTTCCGCACCGCCTCTGCAGGCCTCCGCCCCATCCGTGTCAGCGTCCAATCCACGGACAAGGAGCCTGAAGAACTACCTGCCAGCTGCTAGAAGCAACGCCAAGTCCCTTCCTTCCCTTGCTGCCACTTTACCTCTCAGCTTCTCAGCTTCCACCTCAGCTGCCTCCTCCCCCTTCCCCCCTCTCGGGCAGCAGCAGCCATTCTCCGCACCTCTAGCCACGCTCTCTCCTCCGCCACACTTTCTCTCTGCACCTCTTCGTCCTGGCCTGGCCCCACCACATTCTTCTGGTCTTCTCGGAAGCATGCATCACACAGACGGTGGCCCCTTCCCCCTGGTGCGGCACCAGCCTCCCACTCTTGTTGTGCATGTCCACCTATCATTGCTCTTTTCTTTTTTAGGCTCGATTGTCAGGCGCATACACGGCCGAGTACGCCAATGGGCTCCAATCCCTCACATACGCACCAAGGCCAGACAAAGGTAAGCAAACCATTTGCTAAGGCTTGATCCAGCTCACACACTCACCCTACCCGCCTAGGTCAACCTTTGGGACAGGAGTAGCTGTTCCGCTGCCTGGGACACATCCGTGGCACAACATCTCATCCAAATACAATGAAGACAGTGTTATCCCCCTTACTCTTCTCGCCCCTTCGTACGATCTCACCGTGAAGATAAAGCCCACCCAAATGCATTATGGGCAGGCGGAGTTAATACTTGTAAATTTTCTGCGGCCACCACCACACAGGCAAGATGACCCGTTTGCGCGCTTGCTCTGAAAGCTTTTGATCTGCCGTTTTGTTCAAAATGCGCCGCAGCGCATGGGCTCCAAGATGTGATAGGATTCAGACCTCTAGGATGCCTCATTGGGCCGCTAGGACCCAATCATCCCACGACCGATATCACGCGTGTTCTAGCTTGCCTTGTAAGCTCCTGACCTCGCGTTGGGTTCAAAATGCGCCGCAGAGCACGGGCTTCAAGATGTGATAGGATTCAGCCCTCTAGGATGCCTCATTGGGCCGCTAGGAACTTTCAGTGCATCAGTATGTAGCAAATTTTTTCGACGACCCCACACCGAGAGCAGTGTTTTTGTCGCTTGCCTTGAATGCTGTGGGGAGGCTGTTGCACTCACCTCCGACACGGCCACGCGCATCGTTCCTCCCACCTGTAACAGAGGCAACCGAAACGAGTAATTGCATGAGTAACACTAGTGGCTCACTCATAACTCACTTCGGGTCCTAACAAGATTAGGGCTTCAAGCTGTGATAGGACTCCGCCCTGTAAGTTGGCGTATTGGGCCGCTCACACCCGAGATCACTGGTTTGCTTGCCTTGCAAGGCAAGCCCTTGACCTTTGAGGAGGGAGAGGATTGGCCGGATGTGAGTGCGAAAACGCGTAGAACGCGTTAAACGTGTTGACCATACGCGTATGTCTCGCGTAAGCTACGCGTCGCCGGCGCATGGGCTACGCAGGGACGACAAGTGAAAATGCAGTTTTTAGGAACTCGAAAAATCAATTATCAACTATTTTGAATCGAAATTAGACAATCCTGGGGGGAGTCAGCTCTGCTTGAGGGGATGCAACGAAAACGAGTAACACTCGTTAAACGCGTTTAACTAGTTTAACTAGTAACACTGATTACTCGTTTAACTACCTGCCCACTCGTCGAACGTGTGGGCCACTTGTGAAACGAGTGGAGAATGTGTGAAACGAGTAGAGAACGTGTGAAACGAGTAAAAACCGCGTGGAACGAGTAAAACCCGCGTGGAACGAGTAAAAAATGCGTAAATAACGAGTAAAACGAGTAAATAATGAGTTAAAGGAGTAAAAAAACGCCTAAAAAACGAGTAAAATGACCACAAACCACCTGTGGCAACACTGATTAAACGCTTTAAGCGCAGTAGTTCTACGCGTTGTCGTTGCATCCCCTTACAAGAAGATGAAATTACGATTTAGATTTTGAATAAGATCAGCTCACTTCTCAAGTGTGTGAGGGCGTACCTTTACAGGGCGGTGGGTGCTGCAGTGAGGTGCGGCACTGAACGTACCTTGGGCGCTCACGAGCCGCGGACGTCGCGGTTCACCGCGGAAGTCGGGGTTCTTTCAGACCTGGTAGCCTTCCGTCTTGTAGCTTATGGTCTAATTGGTCTGGAACATGATTGGCAGCCCGCCAGCTATCAAGGCAAGCGAGAAGACTGATGCGCCTTGATTGAGAGTGTGACTTTCGAGGTACAAGTTGTGAGCGAACAGCCCACTGTAGCGGCTTGAATCGCTCGCCATCTTGTAGCCCATGGTCTAATTGGTGTGTAAAAAGATTGGCAGCCCGCTAGCTATCAAGGCAAGCGAGAAAACGGGCGAGCTTTAACTGGCAGCGTAATTATCGCGGTACAAGTTGTGAGGCGACAAACGCACGGTAGCGCCCTGAGTCATGCGCCATCTTGTAGCCCATAGTCTTATTGGTCTGGAAAAAAATTTGCAGGCTACCAGCTATCAAGGCAAGCGAGAAAAACAGTGCTCTCGGTCGAGTGGCCAAGAAAAATTGCAAACTTGCTCAGAAACTGAAAGGTCCTAGCGACCCAATGAGGCATCCTAGAGGGCTGAATCCTATCACATCTTGAAGCCCGTGCTCTGCGGCGCATTTTGAACCCAACGCGAGGTCAGGAGCTTACAAGGCAAGCTAGAACACGCGTGATATCGGTCGTGGGATGATTGGGTCCTAGCGGCCCAATGAGGCATCCTAGAGGTCTGAATCCTATCACATCTTGGAGCCCATGCGCTGCGGCGCATTTTGAACAAAACGGCAGATCAAAAGCTTTCAGAGCAAGCGCGCAAACGGGTCATCTTGCCTGTGTGGTGGTGGCCGCAGAAAATTTACAAGTATTAACTCCGCCTGTGGCTTGTGTAAGGACATGGTTCTGTGGTTTGGCTAAGCCCACAGATATTATTGTTTTTGAGGGGCCTTGTACTGCAGCTGGCACACCCTCTGGTCATGCAGACAGTGAGGACAGAGGAGCCACCTGGTGCAAACCTGCTTTAAGTTTGGTCTATGCCACTTCCTTGAAACTGATGCTGTCAGCATGTGGGGACACATGCTGCAATTGCAGCTGGATCACCTCACCTGTCATGCAGGCAGTGTCAGGTTTGAGCATCCCAAAGGTACAAGCAGAGGAGGGCGCACCTCGGTGTGGGCGACGTGGCAAGGGGATTGCACGAGACCAACCAAGCTCTTTAAAATAGGTTCTAACCAGGAAGTAGGGGTATCTGAAGCACACAATGTATGAGAAAGGCTGGCTGGCATTGGAGGGGCGGGAACGTGCAGGTAGTGCACCTGTCTGTAGGCTCCTCCTCGATCCGCACCACCAACGCCTCCCAGCGTTTTCGCCAGGAGGTACGCATAAAGTTCTGCAGCACCCAGAAGGAGTTTGTTTGCTGGACGAGTTCTGTTATGTGTTGCGACCTGGTGGCAAAAAGAAGCAGGTTAACGGTGGATGAGCGCCAGTTGCAGGAGTGAGGAAGGAGGTGAACCGCCGTCGTATGTGGGGCAAGTAGTCGACACTCAATGCCTCGGAGCTGTAGGGAGGTGCAGTGCGGCCAAGGTGCGCTGCGATTTGGCGGTGTGCTATCATATCGGTGAACCGCCTGATGGGTGATGTCACCTGAACATACGTGTCAAGACCTGCAGGTGCGTACAGAGCGTTGCCAGTTTAGCGTCGTCCCATGTCCCTGAAGGAGCTCCTCTTCCTCAGCGTACCTAGGCTTGTGTGTCGCTTCGGCACCAGGGATATCTCGGCAGTTTGCATGTGCCGCACCAGCTCCGCATATTTGATGTGTTCCGGCAAGCCTGGCCTCACGGCGAGGAGGATAGGAATCAAGAAGAATTCCGAGTTAACTCACGAACACTTGGCCACCGTGGGCTGGTGGCGAACGAGCCTACGTACCATCGAGCTCTCGAAGTAGATCCGGATCGACTTCATGAGGAGCTGCTTGATGGCGGTAGGGCACGAACAGCCCGTGCTGCGCCGCATAGAGGCCCGCTACCTGATTGGTTGCAATCATCATTTCCGCCACCAACTCTGCAATATGTTGCAGCAACGAGGGTGGAAACAAGGTTAACCTCATTGGATGGGAGACAGAGCAGACAGCTAAAGTTACACCACCAAGGCTCGGTACCGCGAGCAGGAGTCATCTGTTCTTCGACTGAGACCGAGACACGCCTCATGTGCGGCGTGTTGATAACCTGCATGCGGTGCAGAAGCAACCACAGGATCAGCCACAATCGCGGAATCCTCACCAACAAAGCACGCAACCAACCTTGACCAGAGGCTTGGGAAGGATGATTGTTTTGGCGCCTTGACTGAGCCGCCAGCGCTTGCGCAAGAGGGCCAGCTCGTGCAAGTGTAAGAGTGCCTGTAGAGCAAAAGAAAGATGGGGAAGGGCCAGTTTGGATTAGCCCTCTCCGGAGAGTGCCACCACACCGACCCTGTCAGGCTCACCTCTTTGTCTTGGTCGGCCAGAAGTGATTGCGATGTGTGCCTCGACGCCTGTCCGCCAGGTGCCTGGGCAAGCACAGCATCTACTTGGTGATAGGTGAGCTTCTTGACCTAGGGACACACGACCACGACCACGACCACGACCACGACCACGCACCAACAGAGAGAGAGAGAGAGGTCAGCGCGCGCATGGTAGTGAGAATGCCTTGGACGGCAGGGATGTGCGGCAGCAGCATAAATTGCATCACAGGCTACCCGAGATATGCTCGAAGGAGTGATTGTGTAATCCTCGATGGCACCGTCCACTGAGCTGATCTTGAAGGCAAATGTCATGGCGTAATTGTCTCTGTGCGTGCAGGTTTGCACGTGCGGTATACCCGTGTTGGATGAGTGGTACAACTCAAGACCTACACGGGGGTATGAAAGGGCGAGGCACCTCCTGGGCTCCAGGCTGAAATGACGGTAGATAGATGGCTGCAGCATAGGGACAATGGTTTCTGCACGCACGCACGCACGCACGCACAAACAGAGAGGTTTCCGATAGTTGGGCAAGAGAGCGCGCTCGGCAGGCGGTGAGGAACATACCGGGCAGATAGATTGTGGAAACTCTGTCGCGCGCGTGTCGGTCCACCTCGTGGTCCACGGGGATCCAACTAGTCGGATCTGCAATGTGCACAAACACCCTGGTAGGCCGCACCGGGAGACACTGAGTACGCGTCGCCCTTGTGGTCCGCTCCCACTGGCGAAAAGAGGGCAAAGCTGCACGCAATGAACCAGTATAAAGGTCGTGCTACCCTACCAGTTGTTGGGGCGGGAGCTCCCTCCCGTCTGCCACTCCACCGAGATGCCATCGTCGACCTCCGTGGTGGACGCGTCGTCAATCGTGTAGACCGTGTGGTACCTGTGGTTGGAGGAGGAGGAGGAGGAGGAGGAGATGATGATTGTGATGCAGACGCTAATCTCGAGTTTGGCGCAGTGTGGGGAGGAAGGGCGCGGTGCGTACTGAACGTCCGTACGTCGGCCAGGCCGTTGGGGTAATTGGTGTCGGAAGGGCGGGCTGGCCGTGCTCGCCGCGACAGGGCCAGGGTGGCGCGTGCCAAGGTCCTGTATCTGCATACCATACAGCGTGCACTCCGGAGTTGTGAGGAACGGAACGCAGATGCAGGCGGCCGAGCCAAGACGACATACCCCGAGATGGGTAGCGCGCAGCTGGTGAAGGTTGGCAAATTCGTCAAACATTTCCAGCTCGACGAGGAAACTGAAAGCATCGCCGGAGGAGCCGCGGTAGCCGAGGGGTCGAAGCACGGCATCTCGAACATAAGGGGATGTAGAGTTGCCGAAATCTGAAGCACCACATACCACGACCGAGAGTGCGGGGTAGTGGTGGTGGTGGTGGTGGTGGTGGTGGTGGTGGTGGTGGTGGTGGTGGTGGTGGTGGTGGTGGTGGAGGGATGCACATGAACAACTGTGGTGCACTCGACCGTGTTTCATGCGCGAAGGAGGACCCGGAGGAGGAGGAGGTGCGGACCTTGGGTGAGCGCATACCGCTTCAAGAAGGCCATGCGCACGGCATCCCGGTTGTGGGGGTCCCACCACTCGGCGTCGGCCAGCTCGGTAGCAGAGAGCAGAGGCCGTATCGTGTTGACGTCCATCGAGAACCCTGCCGGCAGATGAGCCACGTGGGTGCCGTCCTCCGCCAAGGTCTCCGGTCCAGGAGGGTGAGCCCTCCCGCTCTGTTCCTCTTCACCGATGGCAATGGCCGCAGAGACATCGCCGGCCTTTTTTCTGCGTCTCTGCTCGCGCCTGGTGCGGCGCTTCTTGTCGAGGCGGAGGAGGAAGAGGAGTAACTGCTTGGACTTGGGGTCGAAGAGCCGCTTCTCCACCGCGATGCCTTCTCGCTCGGCAGGAGGACGGGTGCGGTACTCGCCATCGACGCGCATAAAGTACTCGTAGTTCTCGTTGAGCACGCGATGAGCAGCATACAGCTCGCTGGCCATGCCCAGTGATTGTGATGATGATGATGATGATGATGATGATGACGGTGGCGAAGTTGGAGTGCTTAGCTGATCGCTTTGCCCTTGCTCGTCTCCACGTCCAGGGGAACTCTGTCCTTCGCAGCGTTCCGTATTTGGTTCGTTGGGCCACAGCCACGCTCGCACATCTTCGGGGCTGGGCGCCTCGACGCCCCTCTCGACCAGCGACTGCCACAAGGCTGCCACCCTCTGTCGTACACCGCCACTTGTGAGATGCCGCCCCTTCTTGCCTGGCTCGAATCCAATGAAAATGCACCCCACAGCTTTCGCCAAACGTACGTTCTGTCCCTGCGCCGATTCCACCAACTTTGCGGCGGCGAGCTGGATCTCAGCCAACTCTCGGACCACTAGGTCGGAGGAGAACCAGATTTGTCATCATGACGCCATCCATGAGCACAACTTTCTGGGAGCCAGCCAACCAGCCAGCTCTGGGCAACGCACCGAGAGCGGGATCCGAAGGCTGGGGTACACCGCCCATGGCGAATCGCACGGCGCCCGTGCCAATGCGCCACTCCTAGTGGGTGGGGTGGTGGTGGTGGTATCAAACCAATAAAGCCACCGCTACTTACGCGGTGGTGGGGGAGTCGTTCGCTCCTACGACCGGTATGTACCTGGCCAAGAGCGTCTACGACCGCCCACCGGTACCGGCGCCCTGGGAGCTGACGTAGCACCCGCAGAAGTCGGCCTGCAGTCGCTGCTTCGACCAATGTCGAGTGCTCGCCGATTGTTCCTGCTGTTATCCATGGAGACGCGGTGGAGGTGGCCTCTGCCTCTGCCCCGCCGTCAATAGGTGGCACCTGACAAAAAAAACAAGGCAAAACAGAGAGGCGCACCATGCGGGGCGGGAAGGTCGCGCAGGCCTGCCGGCAACCAGCGAATGACTCCAACCGCTGCGGCCGAGCGGGTGGCCGCGTCCGGCTCGGTGTGAAGGCGGGAGTGCCCACTAACAGACCATGCTGCAGACCTCGAGCCAGACCACATCTTGAACCGCCCGCGCAAGATACCTCCCGACAACGCGGAAGGGCGCGCTGCTTGCGCCAGAGGCACTTGCAGCAAGGAAGCACGTGCTTCTGGTGCGAGGAGGGCATGTTGGCGCCAGAACAAGGACGGGCTGAGGCAGCGCCGCATCTCTGATCTGCCTTACGCGGGAAAAATAAAAATAAACGAACAGGCTTTTTCCTTTCTTCCTTTAGGGCAAAAGGGGGAAGAAGAAATTTTTTCTTTTCGGGGAAGCACATCAATTTGGCGCGCATCGTAGCGGCGGAGGGCACAACTTCTTCGACAGAGGCAGGAAGGCGCATCGGTAACCTTATGGTACTGGCCATTCGACCTTGTGTCACATGCAAGATCATCATGGTGTCACGACGCTCGCTTCATGGAGGTAGAATTAATTTATTTCGGGGGCGGGACGATAATGCAGGAGGAGAAACTGACGGATCTGCAAGTGGCGGAGATCAAGAAAGCATTCTCCATATGCGACAAAGATGGCAGTGGCAGCATTGATCTTCCCGAGCTCAAGACAGGTTTCTTCTCCATTCCGGGCGGTTCTTGTTGGATTGTTCGTTCAACGACTTTTTGGGGTGGGTGCAGTGATGACGGCCATCCTGGATGAGGAGCCCAGTGAAGCCGAGTTGGCACAGCTGATGAAGACCATTGACAAGGACCACAGCGGCACCATCGAGTGGGAAGAGTTTCTCGACGCCATGACCAATTGGTGCGCACTACCGGCCGAGCAGGCTGCCCCCCCCTTGTACCACCATGTTTTCCCTTTCTTATTTTTATATATCATGCCGGAGGTGACACTATCCCATCCCTCGACCCTGCCCCTGACGCGCGCGTGCTGGTTCTGTCTGGCGCGGGTGGGTGGGTGAGCCGCCGTAGGTTCAAGCAGGACTACAAGGTGCACAAGAGCGGCAACAGCGATCCGATGAGCCAGAAGAAATCCAATCCCGATCGGGTGCGTGCGCGCCTCGCGCTCGTGAGCGTGGCGCTGGCGCCTCGTTTGTTTGGCTCAACAAAACTCCTTTGGCGCGCATGCTGGAGGAGACAGGAGAGGAAGGACGTCCACAAGAAGATCAAGAGCTTCTTCGCCCAGTTCAAAAAGGGCTCCACCTTCGACAAGATTCGCTCGGAGCTGCAGAAGGAAAAGCGCGTGGCCGACTCGATTCAGATGCCGCAGACATGCGCATGAGCACCTCCGGCGCCTCCACTGCCGCCTACTCCTCAAACCAGAAGGTTGTTGGCCCGCACCTCCCCTCCCTGGCTTGCTGCTGCACCGAACACGATCGCTGCATGTCGTGTGTGTCGTGCGTGTCGTCGTGTGTCGTATCGCGCTATCGTTGGCGTGGCATGTGGCTTGTGGATTAAAACCTGATTCGATGGACGTGACCGTGCGGTTACGCAGCTGCGATACCTGGAAGAGTGCAAGAAGATGCTGGAGCGATTCCCGGCCTTCCACAATGCCCTGAACTCAGACAACCCGCTATCGCAACTGGAGGCCATGACGAACGTGGTCAAGCTCTTGTCCATCGTGGAGGTCTTTGCCACTCCTCAGGAAAGGTATATATCGTTGCCCACTGACCGCTGCGGGTAATTGGTCATTGGGAGCTGCCAGGGCCCTGACGCTTCCCCGGTCGTCGTGTCGTCGTGTCGCAGGCGCGGTGTGGCGGAAGTGATCATCAAGATCTTCGAGCTGTTTGTGCAGACGGGCATGACCCCGCGCATCATCCACATCCTGCAGACGTCCGACCCGCAGCGACCCCAGCTCCAGGTGCCCCCCCCCACCACACAATCATTTGCTTCGCGCGCACCTTTCCGGTCGTATTTCTGCCCAGGGCTACGACTTGGTCTGCCGCCATACTGGCGCCATCGATAGCCCCCCCCCCGTCTATATTATTATTAACGGGTCTCCCTGCCTGCCGTGTCGTTGCTCCGCACACCAGGAGCTGGCTGCGCGTATTCTGACCTACTTCATCCCGGGTCCGCGCATCGCTTCAACACCCGAGGACTCACTGCTCCACCCCAACCAAATGTTCTTCAAGAAGCTCGTCATCTCCGAGGGAGGCGTGCCTATCCTCATCAAGCTGCTCCACCACCCTGTCCCCGAAGTCCGCCAGCAGGTCCGGGTCCCCCTCCTCTTGCGCGCGCAGAACGAGACTGCAGGCAGGCAGCAAGCGATATTGCCCTGACGCCGTCCGACTTCTTCTTCTTCTTCTTCGTTTTCGTCGCTTCCTTTACTACGATGTGCACGTCGTGTGCGCGTGTAGGGCGTGTTGGCGCTGGGCTGGCTGGCGGCGCACAACCCAGAGTGCCGGGACCACCTGCTGCACCATCGGGTGGTGCCTGCGCTGCTCCATATCTCGGGCAACGTTACCGACCTCGAGGTGGCCAAGGCCCTCTCGTGGACCTTTTCCATCCTGTGCGGTGTCACCCACCCTCGCAGCAAGCTCCCGTCCTGGGAAGCGGTACACGCCCCCCCAACACCCACCCACCCCCTCTATGCCATTCCCACTCTCACCTCCTCTCCCGCGCTCGATCGAAAGAGTCTCACCATCTCTCTCTCTCGTATGGTGGTGGGCTGGTGTAAACGCGCGCGTGTGTGCTGCTGGCGCGGAGAAGATCGCACCGATGCTGCCGCACCTGGGCAACTTTTTGTTTTCGGGGGATGAGGACGTGCTCGCCAACGTCCTGTCGGCACTTTCGCTCGTGCTGCCGGGCGTTCCCGAGGCGAACGTGTGCCGGCGGCTGGTGCAGCTCCTCGCTTCCTCGGCCCCACGCGTACAGCGAGGGGGGCTGCAGACGATCACCTACGTCCTTCGCTTCGACGACAAGCAGACCCAATTCCTCATCGACTCTGGCCTCACCGACGCCCTCGCTCATCTGCTCCGCTCCGACGACGAACTCGTGCGCGTTGCCGTTTGCGAGACCCTCATTGTCCTCGCCGGCGTGCGCAAACGTATCCAGGTGGACCTGCCCCCTCCCCCCTTTATTCCCCTCCCTCTCAAGCCAAGCCCTCCCCTCCCCTTCTACTCAGGGGCCTGCCCGTCACAGCACAGGATCCCCTCCCCCTTTCCGTTTCTCTCACTCTCGCGGCGACGGCCGTACGTGGATGGTGTTGTGAGTGCAGGCCATCATCAAGGCCGACATCGTGCCTCGCCTGTTGCAGCTGCTCGCCACAGATGAGCTCATGCGATGGAAGGTGGCCAAGGTGGTCAAGTATATCACTCGCGGCAACGCCCCGCAAATTGAGTACTCGACCCTCTCCTCCTCCTCCTCCTCCACCACCACCACCCCCATAGTTGAAATAATGAAACGAACGTGATGACCGTGGTGGTGGCTGGTGGTGGCTGGTGGTTGGGGGATACCAGGTATCTCGTGAAGCAAGGCGTGGTGCAGGCCTTGGCCAAGTCACTGGTGCACTTCAAGGTCTACGACCAAGTCCTCACCGAAATCTACAAATTCTGTGGACCCTCGTTCAACTTCGAGTTTGTTCGCGACGTGCTTGCGGCGCTTGACAACATCGTCAACGTGGGCGAAATGGAGGCCGAGGAGAAGCAAAAGCTCAACCAGGTAAGCCACGGCCGAACTCGCTCTCTCCTCCGACTTATCGCACCCCGTATCGTCGTGGTGGTGGTGGTGCGTGACCACTTGCGGTGGTCGCTGCTGCGGCGGCGTTACTGACTTGGGGTGGGTGGGGGGGACTCGTGTGTGTCACCGCACGCAGTACGCTCTGTCGTTTGACATGGGGTGCGTGGACAGCATCCGAGGCGTGCTCCAGGCGCTGCGCTACGCCTCCAAGGACGAGCTCGATGCCTGGCGCCAGAACTCCCACACCCCCGGAGAGGCGCCCGTGGAAGTACACCCCCCCTGCCAACCCGCCACTCCGCTACCCCCACGGCCGATGCGCCTGCGCCTGGCCGGATGATCGCTCAGCAGCGTAAAACCCCGCACACGCACACACGACGGCAGGACAAGATACGGTCACTTCTGTTCAAGATCAAGCGCGTGCACGACGGCAACAGCGAGGCCAAGATCTCCCGCCACATCTCTCAGATGATTGGCTCTGTGTGGAAGGAGTACTACAAGGACAACCAGGACCACCTCGACAACAAGGTACCCTTCCCTCCCTGCATGGCCATTGCAGATTACATTACATTTTACATTACACACACACACACACACACACACACACACACACACGTCCCTCCCTTCCCTCTAGGTGCTCGTCAAGTGCTACCATGGAGATGACATCCGTGTCGTCGAGGTGCCGCGTGACGTGCGCTACCAGGACTTCCTCAGCGAGCTGCAGGGCAAGTACGTGGGTCCGCTCACGGTCACCTACAAGGTACGCCGGCCATGGCCGGCGCAGGCACCGCGGACGTGTGCACCACGCCTGCTCTCTCTCTCTCTCACACACACACCACCCCTCATCCCTCTCTCGGGGCCTCTCCCCCACGCCCTCCTTGTGTCAACAACGAACCATAAACCAACCAGGAATCGGTTCGCCAATATAGGATGAGGAAGGCGAGTCCATCACGATCGACTCGCAGGGCTCGCTCGAGACGGCCATCCACAAGCACCTGAAGGAGGCCGCCAAAACCCTCAAACTCCGCATCTCCATCCGGGTGCGCGTTACCCCCCCCCAATGCTGGCCTACGCGGCCACGTGCCGCCGCCGAGGCCGCCCACACACCTGAAGATTGGGGGAGGGAGGAGAAGCAAGAAACTCACGAACGAATGAACGAACGAACGATTGGGGGGGGGGAACGTGGACGTGAGTAGGGACTTACGGCCTTCTCGCCCTTGGCGACCCCTTCGGCCTCTCTTCGCGGTTCGCCCATTCCTTCGCCCCGTGCGTCGCCCCCTGGCTCCCCGCTCCGCAAGCGCAAGCGCCCCGCCGATGACGTGCCAGTCCGCGACGATGACGACGACGACGACGAGGCTGAGGCGGAGGAGGAGCAGGCAGCGTACACAGCGGCAGACCAGCAGAGGAGTGAGAAGAGCAGGCAGCACGACGACGACGAACCCGTCGCCCAGCAGCCGCGCCGCATCCCCGCTGCTGCCCGTTCCTCCTCCTCCTCCTCGTCGTCGTCGTCCTCTCCTCAGACGCAGCGTCGCGGGGGCTACATGAGCGGGCAGGTGAGCGGGGCCTCTTCGCCCATGCCCGCCCTCCACTTCCCCCTCGCCACGCCCCTCATCCGCCGTACGGCGTCCCTTCCCTTCTCTTCCCGCCCACCTCCCGGTTGCCTCCCGCACGTATCGGAGCGCTAACACTTACCCGCGTGGCCCTCTCGGCGTCGGCTACAGAGGGAGAGGCCTTTTCGTTTGGCGACAGTCTCGACCACATCAAGCGCGAGGAGAAAAAGGCGCTCCTGGCCCAGCTCGAGCAGACCACACACTGTACGCGCCGTGAGCCTCTCGCGTGCGTTGGGTGAGTCCGCTCGTTGGAGATTATTACAACCACTAATGCCGCCGCCACCACCTCCAGTCTCCCGCGATGAGCTGGAGAAGCTGTACGCCAATTGGTTGAAGCAGGCGCGGAACGGCTACGTTGGCCGTGAGGTACCGCACGCACGCACACACGACACACACGCACACGCACACACTAACGCCTCGCTCGTTTGCTCAGGAATTCGAGGCGGGTCTCAACGCAATTGGTATCTCGGATCCGCTCATCATTGAACAGAATTTCTCCGCTTTTGACCACAACAAGGTGCGCGCCCTCCCTGAAGCCGGACCCACACGCAACTCTCACCCCGGGCGCGTCGTGTGTGTCGTGTGTGTCCCTCTCTTCCAGGACGGCAAGATCAATTTCAGAGAGTTCGTTACGGGACTGTCCGTGGTGCAGAAGGGCACCATGGAGGAACGCCTCAAGTGTACGCACCCACCCGTCCCTCAGTGTGGTGGAATGCAAGAGCCGACCCCAGGCTGATGTGCGCCAAACTCCGCGGTGCAGTTCTCTTCGACGCCTACGACGTCGACGGGAGCGGCACACTCACCCCGGACGAAGTCTACAACATCTTCAAGGCCTCGCTGGCGTCCAAGGGAGAGACCATCAGCACAAAAGAAATTCGCGACATGGTGCGTGCCTGTCCCACCCACTTCCCTTTGCCTGACCGGGTGGTGTGGTGCTCCTCCCCCCCCCTCCTTGGTAATGTGACTCACGTGTCAATGCTCGGGCCGCCAGGTGGACGAGTGCTTCCGGCAGATCGACGTGAACGGGGACGGCGAGATCAACTACGAGGAGTTCAAAACAGCCGTGACCAACCAGCAGCTCATGATCTCCTGCTTCGTCCACTACCCCACGGACCACCACCAGCAGTAACCGGTCTCGCCCAAGGGGTAAGAGTGAACGTGTTTAGAAACGAGTCTGCTCGCACACATGATTGAAACGCTTGGCGTGGCCCACGTTGTGCTCTGGTGATGATCGATTGGGCCAGGGGTAGAGGAGGAGAAGAAGCACCGTTAGCTAACGTGGGGCGACAGTGGCCGCCTCAAGACGACATCTGCGCCAAAGGAGAGGGGCGCGTATGTACGCTGGGTGCGGCAGTTGCGGCCCCAGTGGCAGTCGGGTCGTGATGTGACCGAGGTGGGAAGGTCTTCCGGCGGCATGTTGGCCCTGTTGGCCACAGGCCAGCCCACCACCACAGCACACAATGAGAGGTCAGGCAGCTGCCAGAGAGGCGAATGAAGGAGGAGCAGTACCGGTAGAGGTAGACGAGGTTTTGGAAGGCGTATTGCGCACAGGACCAGCAGGCGTGCTGCCCCGATTGCACGTTCTTGCGGGTGTGCACTCCATCTGCATGTCGGTCAGTCACGATGAATGGCCCAGGCCTCCTTGGCCCAAGAGAAACGGAGAAGCCGGAGAGACGTAACTAAAGGAGATCGCCCCGGAATCGGCATCGGCCAGGCAGGTGAGCCACAACTCCGTGACGCTCTTCCCCTTGGCCGTCTTGGTGCACCACGAACGAGTGTGAGTGAGTGAGTAAAATTGCCCCAAGCAGTGACTTGGTGTTTTGTTCTCTCTCTCTCTCTCTCTCCCCATCTCTTGTTCTCTTCCTCTCTCGTGCGTGAGAAGAGAGGGCGCGCCTACCAGGTAGTTCAGCACGATTTCCTGCTCGGCCGGGTTGTTGCTACGCACACGACGGAAAAAAACAACAGGTTTCATTATTTTGGAGGTGGGGAAGGAGGTTGAGCCGGCAGATCCGCGGGGCGGGGGCAGGGTAGGGCAAGGGGACGCACTTGAAGGAGGCCGGCGGCAAGGTGGTGAAGGTGTGCTGGGAGAGCTTCTTGAACTTGCCCACGCCCACGGGGCTGGCGCAGCCCCAGTAGAGGTCGCAATAGGGCTTGTCGCACAGCTCGCCTGCCCTCTCCTCCCGTCAGTCAGTCGTCCCTCGTCGCCACCGTGCTGCTGCTGCTGGCGGCGGAATGGGGGGGATATTTTGCGGGGGGGGGCGTACATTTGATGGGCGTCGGGCATCGATCTCCGCGATCGGGGAACTAGTTGTGGTTGTTGTTGGTTATTCTTACTACAACTACTACCACTACTACTATTTATTTTTAGAGGGCGAGAGGAGGAGCAGTACCGGCTGGCCGCAGGCGGAGCAGAGGTGGTGTGGGGCCGCCCCATCCGATGGACACTTGAAGCCGTCAGGCCCTGCGACAGGTGGTAGCCATCAGCCCAGTTTCGCGCACGCACCAACACCCGGGTGAGAGCAGGCACCCCCGTCACCACCATCACGACCACCACGACCACCACGACCACGAGCTCCACGACAGCCACGGACACGGTATAGACACACAACCACGACACGCAACGCACACGAACCACACACACGAACCACACGACACACACGCAGAGAGCGTACCGGCAGTGCCGCACTGACGGCAGATGGTGCGGTATCCGCCAGAGTAGTGGCTGAAAGTGGACCCGAACAGGGGCGTGGGGAACGAAGTGGCGAACAGGGGAGGGCGGTAGGTGCGGTCATCGTCCTCCTCGCTTCCTTCGTCCTCGTCCTCGTCGTCCTCGTCGTCGTCATCATCGCATTCGTCGTCGTCGTCGTAGCTGGACTTGGCCTTCTTGCCCCCCTTGTAGGTGATGACCCGGCGGAGCTGGCCCCAGCGAAAGAGAGAGGGGGGGAGGGAAGAGAAGGATGCGTGAGGTGAAGCGGGAGAGGGAGGAGGAGCTGTGATGAACAGGAGGGAAGGAGGGGAGGAGGAGGCTCACACCATTTCGTCGGTGAGTTTGGAGCGGGCATCCATCTCCTTGAGCTCCTCGGGGTCTCTCGCTTTCTCCGGGTTGGCCTCGATGTAGGACTCGATGATGGCGCAGATCGTGTGATTCTGCCCTCGCCCATCCACCCATCCACCCATCCACCCACCCATCCACCACCCACCCATGGTACACGTGGCACCTTAGGCAGCGGCACCTCATTCCCCCACTTTCCACGCGCACGGAAGGGGAAGGGGAGGGAGGAGGAGGGCATTGGAGCCATTTTGAATATAGATATTTAAATAGATATAAAGATAATAAATGTCGATGTAGCGACAGGTACATACCTTGGAGAGGCCCTGCACGTGGGTGCGGCACTGGGGACATTGGCTGTTGCCGCGCTCTCGCCACTCCGAATAGCAGCACGCGCAAAAGCTGACAGGCCCACACGCCCGACATAAGCAGCATCAGCATCAGGAGGGGCTGGGGGGGAGGAGGAGGAGGAGGAGGAGGAGGGAGTACTTGTGCATGCAGGGAAAGAGCGCGACGCACTTGTAGAGCAACTCCTGGCCTGACTCGCCAGCACCACCACCCCCCCACGCACGCACGCACGCATGCGCCGAAGGAAGGAAGGAAGGAGAGTCCGTCAGGTACATAGGGCCCCTCCCTCTCACGCACGTTGAAACGCACCAGGGGTGGTGCGGGGGAGGGGCATGCGTACAAATGCCGCAGACCATGTTGTCCTCGTAGGTCTCCTCGATCTTGCGCAGTTTCTTCTTGTCCCGCTCCGATTCGTCGTCCTCCTCCCGCTCCGCCGCCTCGTCTTCCTTCTGCCGCGCCCCGCCCGAAAGGCACATCGTGAGCCCAGGCGAGCGCCTCCCGCCCCCTCCCGCCCCACAATGGGGCAAGTCCGTTCCCGTACACACCCCCTCCCTCCCTCGCACTGCACTGCACCGCACCGCACCACACCGACGAGGGATGGCGGTGGCGGGGAGCTGCACCTTGCGCTTCGTGGCAGCAGATGGTGGAGAACCACCGCCGCCGCCGCCGCCACCACCAGCAGTAGCAGCAGCAGCAGCAGCATCCGCATCCGTTCCGCCACCAGCAACCGCCGACGTTGCAGTGGCAGTCGTAGTGGTGGTGGTGGTGGTGGTGGACGCGTGGGCGTGGGCAGTGGACGCGGCCAAAGGGACGGGGTCCTCATCGGCGACGATCTCCTGAGTGGATGCCTCCTCCTCCTCCTCCTTGTCGTCGTCTTGTGCAGCACGTCGTGGTGGTGGTGGTGGCACAGCTGCAATTCGGGGAGAGGGAAGAGGGTTAACGTGCGTGGGTGGAGATCGAACAGCGCACAACACACGACCAGTTTCTCGGATCGGGCCGGGCGAAGGGAGGGTCTACACCTTGGAAGAGGTAGCACACGCGGTCCTCTCCCGGCACACCCCGGACCGCAAGATTGGTGAGAGCGATTTCGTCTGCACACACACACACACACAACACACAACACACGTGTGAGAGGCCCATCGCGCCCACGTCAGCAGCCGTGGCCACGTATAATTGCGCGGAGGCCAGCAGGCAGCGTGTTTAGGGCGGCGCACACGCACCTCCCGAGGACAGATGTCGGCGCTTGCCTTTGCCCACCTGCGGAAGAAGCACGTAGCGAACGTGTCACACACGGCACACGCACACACACGACCCGTCAGCTTGTGGTGTGGTGTGGTGTGGTGTGTCGTGTCGTGTGTGTCGAGCGGGGTAATGGGGTCCTCCACGGGAACAACCTTGGTTCCGTTGACGAAGGTGCCGTTGGAGGAGAGGTCCTCTAGCACGACCACGTAGTGGCCGGCACTTGCGTCCCGCTCGCGGTAGAGCCTGCAGTGGCGCGCCGATATCCGCTTGTCCCCGAACCGGCACCTTCCCGCCCCAGCACCCACGACACCAGCCACCAGCCACCACCACCATCAGCTGCTGCGGGTACCAAGTGGCGGTTTTAACAAACAAACAAGAGCTATGTTTGGGAAGGAGACGGTACCGGGGGTCGCAGTCGGGGGAACGGCCGAGAAGGAGTGGGGGCTGGTCGGGCGCCAGTTCTACCACCTCCATCCCCGTTGCGTGAGAACCCCGCCCTGTGCTCCCACCGACCGGCACGAGGCGCCCCCAGGGGCTGACCGCGGTGGTGCCTCCACCCTCAGGGGTTTGGTGATCTTGCTGTACATCATCTACCGTACGCTCCAACTCGGAATTGTCTACATCGCCCCCGACTTTATCCAGTGCCCGGGCGGCAGCAACTGCGTGAGCCTCCATCTCGTTTTGTTCTTCGCGTGTAGAAGAGGGCAAGGAATCAATCGCTTGTCCCCCAAAGAAATTACTGGAATCAAAATGTTGGCCCAGAATTATTTGTCTTTTTATTTTCTGTTTTTTTTTGATTTTTTGTTTTCTAATTTGCTGGCCGTTGTTAGGCCGTGGCGGCGTTGCGCTGGAGGAGCTGCAGAGCTGCTTCAAAATGGCCCCGCTCTACCTGTTGGTGACACCACGTGCCCGCCGTCAACACCACATTCATACACCAACGGCAACAGGGTTAGGCCACATGTGTGTGGAAATAGAAATAAATAGATGACGCGTCCAGATGGAGCACAGAAACGACGAGGGGATCGTGGTTTGGGGGAGGGGTACGAACATGCAGTGCTGTGATGTCGTGGCGAAGAGCGTAGAGTGCGGCCTCGCGGCATAGATTGTCGAGGTCGGCTCCGCTCCACCCGGGTGTGGAGCCCACCAGCCACTCTCGGTCGTCCCTCGACAGCTGCTGCGCGGGCAGACCGGCCAGCTTACGCTCCAGGATTTCCTACGCGCGCGCAACAACCAACAACAACCAACAAGTCAGGCATGATCCGTGGGGTGAGGATCGTCTATGGCTGGCCAGACAGGCCTGCTCCGTTGTGGCGCCGACACGGATGGACAAACGCAGTTGCGATGGAGGTGGAGGTTTGGGGTGCGTACCAATCGGGCGGCGGGATCGGGGAGGGGAAGATGGATGTGGATGCTGAGGCGACCAGGCCGGAGGAGGGCGGGGTCAATCAGGGCCTTGCTCTCCGTGGTGGCCACCACCATCACGGGCGGCCTCCCCTCGGCTGCCCCTCCCCCTGGCGTCGTCTTGGCTGTAATGCCGTCCATCTCCATCAGCAGACACGACAGCAGCCGGTCCATCGTACGCTCAGCTGAGAGAGATAGATGCACCACACACACACACGACACACACACGACACACACACGACACACACACGACACACAAGACACACAAGACACACACACACGCACACACGCACACACGCACACACGCACACACCTACATATCAGTGTATGGTCACCTGGTCGGGAGGGAGGGTCTCTCGGGGGACAGAAAAAGCAGGAAAGGGTGAGAGGCTATATACCCGAGGAATCGGCGCCGCGCGGGCGGGCCAGCATGTCGATCTGGTCGATGAAGAGGATTGCCGGGGCCGCCGCACGTGCCCGAGCAAACACCTGGGCGATGGCCTTTTCCGACTCTCCCACGACCTTGTGAACCACCTCCGCACCCTGCACCGTCACGGTCGACGGCGATGATGCAGCATCACAACCACCACCATGCGCCCATTACAGTGGAAGAGAGGTCATCACGGAAAGAACACGCACGCACGCACGCACGCACGCACGCACGCACAAACAGCACGCACGCCGTACGTTGACGGGAATGAAGGTGGCGTGGGTCGACTGCGCGAGAGCGAGCCCCAAGGCGGTCTTGCCACACCCGGAGGGACCGTAGAGTAGCACCCCGGTAGGAGGGGACACGCCGAGCTGGGCGAACCGCGACTCTTCTTCCAAGCCCATCACCACGGAAGCCTGACGCCACCGCCACACGCGACACCAACGACACACAGCACACACACAGACACACACACACACACACACACACACACAGAGAGAGAGAGAGAGAGAGAGAGAGTTACGGAAGCATATCCCCAGCACCCGACAGCGGCAACAAAACCCCTCGGCTACCTTGAGGAGGGCAATGGCTTGGCCAAGTCCCCCCAGCTCGGAAAATGTGTGTCGACCTGGGAGCAGACGTACGTAGCACACATGAGCAGGGGCAGGGGCAGGAGCGCAACTCGGTTCCCCCGCGGCCCAGCGGGGAGGCATTGTGGGCACGTACCCACGCTGGCAACGCCGGAGGTAAGGAGGGCGACCTGCGGCCTGACGATGGGGAGGACCTCGCGAAAGTGGTCGGGCGTAACCACGACGGCCGCCTCGTTGCCCGCAGCTGCTGTCTGATCCCCTCCACCTGGTGCTGAAATGAGTACTGCCATACGTTACGTTACATAACATTACATTGCATTGCATGGCATGGCAGTGCGTGCGTGTAATCACACAAAGCACCGGGGGAGGTTGAGTTGATGACAATTCACCACAAGGAGAGGGGAGGGAAGGAGCGCGCGAACTTGTGCGGGCTTGGCGTAGGGCGGCAAGCGCGGCGTGGGAGCAGAGGGCGGCCAGGTGGGCCGGCAGGAAGGCGTGGGCTTCCATGCGGGCCACCTGGTCGTATTCCGGCCCGTACCGATCCCGCGCAAAGGGACGCCGTGCCGCGAGTCAAGGAGGCAGATAAATCAAAGAATAAGAACAACACGCGCACACTCCCAGATAGAACCATAACACAACACAACACAACACAGCAACCAAAAGGGAGAGGGATGGAGAGGATATGGGTAGTGAGGCGGCGCATGAGGAGGACCCGCAGGGCGGGAGTGGGAATGGGGCACTCGAACACGCGCCCCCCGAAGCGCATGGGAGCCAGCGCCCCCGCGTCCAGCGCCTCCGGGCGACTCGTCACTCCTGTGGCCCGAGGCCACCGCCAGAGGGGCACGAGCGACAAGAGTCAGAAAAAGGGCTCAGGTCCATGTTCAATGACGCCGCCTCAGCGATCGAGAGGCGGTGCAGCCACGCGGGTGGGGGGGGGCAACTTACCGATAACGAACACGCGCTGCCAGGGGCGGTCCGCGCGAGGCGGCGGCAGATGAAGGCTGTCGAGAAGGGAGAGCATGATGCTGCTCATGCGCCGCTCCACCGCTGCAACACAGCAAGCCACACGACACATGACACGCACACAAGCACACGACACGCGCGAGTGAGTCAGCTGAGAGCGCAACATTGCTGTACTACTTCATGTGCGGGCGAGGGAGGGATTGGGCATGCGCCGAAAGAAAGCCATGGCCTAACATGGATATGGAAATGGAGATAGAGATGGAGAGGTACATCCAGGTATAAATAACAGGTGTATAGCCGTAGAGAGGTAGATAGAGATAACGTACGGGGGAGGCCCGATCGGCGGGCAGAGGGCAGCAGCACGTCGACGTCGTCCACCACCACGATGCGGGGCAGCAGCGGCGAGCAGCAGGAGTCATCCGCGTCGTCGCCTTGGCCTCCTCCTCCTCCTCCTCCTCCAAGCACGGCGCGCACGAGGCCCGCCTCGCTTTCTCCCTCGTCTGTCGACACACCAACCAGGACGAGGAAGCGTACGAGGAGGTGAGCCGTTGGTTATGGCCACCACGTGGTGGCCTCATAGCGTTAGCCACTCCGAAAAAAGGGAATGGTGCCTGAGCCTGCTGCCGGCCACAAGAGGAGAGGAGGAGGCAAGCGGGAGAGCAGCAGCAGCAGCAGCAAGGCACGTACTCTGGCGGAAGAGGTCGGGCGCATGCAGGAGTGCATGGGAAGGCCGCTGCTACGCGCCACGGCCCGTGCCAGGCGCGTTTTGCCGCTTCCCGGCCGCCCCACCAGCAGCGCACACCCGCCGCGGCCCCACGCCCCTCCTACCGCTCCTCCTGCTCCAGCAGCAGCAGCAGCAGCCGGCGGCGGCGGCGGGTAGAGGGCGGCGCGGGCTGAACCGCACAGGCCGCGCAGCACGAGTGCTTCGGCTCCCTCCCGGGGCTGCAGCGATGTAATAACAGTAGCAGCCCCCTCGTCCCCCCTTGTGACTTCTTCTGCTTCTTCCCACGCAAAGTCCCCCCANAACTCCCGCACGGCACGCGCCTCCCATCCCGCGAGCACCGCCGGTGAGTTCCGCTCCTCCGCCATGTTGTTGTCGTTGCCGCTACGTCAACTTGTTCATTTTTCTTTTTCTTGTTTTCTTTTTCTTTTCCTACTCCGGTCACGCACAAGTAGCTGGGTTTGGGGTGTCCTTTGGCAGATGTGGAACTCCCAAGTGATGTTGAAAGCAAGAACCAACCAGGGAAATAGAAAATGTGCACATGTCACTGACAACCAGGTGGTATATATGAGAGCACCTGACCAGAAGGAATGTATGCACTAAGACAATAGAAAAGGACAAGCTAGACTGGGACACCAAGGGGCATGTGGTGATGGAAGTACCCTTCATGTTGGCCCAGATGGTGCTTGCTATCATGTCAAACACCAGCACACCAGAACATGGCCTCCAGCCTACTCACCAAGGCACACTCAAACCAAGTGTTCATGAAAAAGGGTAAGTGACTCTTTTTCCTTAGCTGATGCAAAAGATGTACAGATTATCAAGCACTTCTTGACAATAAAGTGTACATTGCAAAAGATGCTGAGAGAGTAAGATGGGAGACCATCATTCAACTCATAATCCTGCAGACAGCAGTAATCTTGGCAAACCAGAACTGCTCCAACATCTCAGGGTCTCATCCTCACTTGGGCAGATGGCAACCCAGATGTTGGCAGTGAGTGCATTGTCAGTGAGCGGGGAAGCAGAAGAGTGTGGGGTGAGGGAATCAAATAGAGTGGGGACAGCATGTGGAGAAGCCATGGCTTCAGTCCAATGTTGGTCCAGTGTGTCCTGCCACTCCTGGAGCTCAGCAGAGGTGAAGAGAGGAGCAGTGAGAAAACAGCTCTTGAGAAATCTCAGCATCTGGTGCCAAGGGTGGGAGAGTCCAGGGAACACCTGGAGCAAAGGGTTGAGATGGTGGTCAGGCAACAGAAGTAAGCATGGTGGTGGTGGAGGTGGTAGGTACCAATTGGGAGTGAACTCAGATGATTGCCTTGGTGTCCATGAATGGCCACAGCCCTGCCATGTTGAAAGATGACAAGGCACCAGACCCATTTCTTGCAGCTGAACCCATATGCCCTGTGAAAACCAGCAAGACAGAAGGGTGTGCCAAAAAGGCATAAATCCATCCAAGAATTGTCATCACAGGCAGAGGCACCCATAATGGTGATGATCATGGAGCTGCGTTCAAACTCATTGCAGGCTGCATAGCGCTCCCTAAGTGACATGATCTGCTCTACAGAGATGAGTGAGAGGCAGTTCTTGGAGCAACAAGGGGCATCAGCAAGGGAGGAGATCTTGGTGGCATCAGTTAGTCAAGCAGGCTTGGTGGGGCCTGGGCACTGCTCTGGGGTCAACTTCCTGCACTTGCAGGGAGTGTGTTGGGATGAGGGCATGGTCATGGAGAGGAAGGGGGTCATGAGGTAACTGGGACACTGGGAAGGATGTCAGGCTGCATGGCAGTTGAGATGTGGTCTTGGTTATGGTGGAGAGAGACAATGGATGGCTGGACTTTATACACCATTGCATTGAGAAACACAAGGTCATCCACTAACAACAAAGCACTAAATGGACCAACCAAGTGTTGGGAAGATGCAGGGCAAATTATTGGCAAGAAGTACACAGTTTCCTGCACTACTGGAATAGATTTGTTCACAGGTGCCATCAGAGTGTGCACATGCTGCCAATCCAACACACATCAGATCATCAACACAAGGAGATTTAATTGCCAAATTACTGCCAGGAAGCACTGAAGATTTCAAGTAGGACTTTAACATCATTGGTCCAGAGTATTTTAAAAGCAGTGTGATGGCTTTGCTGGTTTTGTAGCCTCACACCTACTGCACACATCACCCTCAAGCCTACTCAGTGAAAGCCATGTCCACCACCCCTACTCCATCATCCACTGCTCTGGCATTGCCTCTCAGCCTAGCATCCATGTTGGCTGAGGAAGTGAAGGACTGGTGCAAGTCAAATTGGAGCAAGATCAAAGTGGAGAACATCACCATTGTGAACCTTAAGAGCCTCATTGACCATCTTGGAGGAAGCAAGAGCTTCAAGAAGAAGGCAGAAGGTGTGGTGAAGCTGCTCCATCAATGCAAAGAAGGTGCCTGAGGAAAGGGAGAAGCCAGAGGAGGAGCCAGAGGAGGAAAGTCTGGTTTCCAGGAGGAAGGGACAGAAGCACACTGCTAGTCACAAGGAGGAGGGAGAAGGAGGACAAGGTGCACAAGGAGGAGGAGGAAGTTGGGGCAAAGGGTAAGGAACATGTGGATGTGGGTCCAGTCAAGAAGGTCTGCATCACCCCAAGACATCCTGTTGCTCTTCCAGAGGCAACACTTAGTGTTGTGGAGAAGGCCAGCTACTTCCTTGACCTTACCTTTGCTGAACTTGGTATGTTTTTTGCTTTATTCATACCACAGACCATCCCTCACTGGCATAGCCTTCAGCACCAGCCTGACCTGGCCAGTCTGCACCTTTGTAGCACTGGTTGTTTGGATACCAGCAACCCCAAGGTGTCAGGAGCTGATGTGCTGCCTGCCAAACTGCACCAACAGTGGATTGAGGATGGCAAGGGCTTAATCAACCTTGGCAATGCAACAATGTTTGGTACACCCAAGTCATTATGTGCTAATTACACATCAACCATTGAATTATATATGTCCTTGTATCTGCACATCCCACTCATCCAACACATGTCAGATGGTCTTCTTGTGTTATTGCAATATGGACACATCTCCTCCAATCCTGTTTTATGCAGCTCATCATCAGCCTGTTGACATACATGGGTTGAAACACCTCTTCCTGTGAAGGAATTGGGAATCTTCCACAGCCACAGCATCCTCTTCACTATCTCAACAAAGATGAACATGTTGACCCAAACAACACCAACAAATTTAGTAAGTTGTAATTTTTGCTGCTTGCAACATCTTGCTTACACCAACTTCCCAACACACATCAGATGCTATTTCCTGCTTTTTATGAATATGTGTTAACAACAAAATTGCTTGTCAATTTGCAGAAGGAAGGTCAAGCAGTCACCCCCAATGCCCTCAAGAAGGCCTACACAATCTTCAACAATCTCAGCAACCATGCAGAGGCAATAAGGTTCCACCCCTCCCTTCTCCTCCTCCTCCATCACCACTATTCCATGGAGGCCTCATTTTTCTCCTAACCTCCTTTTCCATAGCTTCATCTAGGCTGAGAATATGGAACTACCACCTCAGCACCAAGTCACCCCATCCAATCTCTACCAGGCAGCCAGCAGCAAGCTAGCACTGCTTCACTTCTTCTTTATTTCATCTTATCTGCTTCACTTACACTACCATTGTGCAATCAGGCAAGTACTTGGAGGAGCTCATCAAGCATTGGAAGACAGTGCATGAACAAACTCTGGCCATCAAGAAGGCCATTGCTGACACCAAGGAAGCAGAGTGCCATCTAACCCATCCTGGGGCTGCTGCATCTCTATTGGATCTGCAGCTCAAGCAACTTGACCTGTCTCTGCAAGATATCTACCTCAAAGTGGCAGACTACTACCAGCAGCACCCCACAGTTCAACACATCCCCAAGACCAAACTCTCAACTGGAATGCAGATTGAGGATGAGGAGCAGCGTGCAAGTCTCTTGGCCCTGTGTGAGGAACAGGAGCTGCAGAAGGCTGGGCAGAGCATCTCCACCTCTTCTAGCCAAGGGACAGACATGGTACCAAATCTTCCTCAGGAAAGTCACACTTGTAGGTTGCAAGTCCCTGCTGGAGTGTTCCTTTGTTTCCTTCTAAAGTTGGCTTTATTCATAAATCAGGAGGAGCTGCTTGCAGAGGAACAACATAAAGAGGAAAAGAATGTGGAGGACAAGGCCACACAGAGTCAGGATCTCTTTGGGGTGTCCTCATCACTCAAGGAAACCGCACCTGCTGCTGCAAGTTTGCAGCTCACCCCAACTCCACCCTGCAGATTACAGCACCAATGTCTGGTACTCCATGCTCACAATCACCTTGACTTCTCATTCTTGTAGCTGACTTATCTCATGCAGTGCCTGCAACTCCTCCCCCCATCCCTCCTAAATCACAGAAGACCCCAGCTGAGAAGGCTGACTCAAGAAGAAGAAGGCAGCCAAGAGGGCCACTTTGGCATGAGTGGAGAGATTTGCAAGTGCTCTTCAGACCACAGTCTCATGAATGATTCAACACTGCCTTGAGCTCAAAAAGCAACTGGTACAACATTCTCTTTTTTGTGCATGCACCCAATCCAACATGCATCAGATCACATAGTTATTTTTTAGTGTTATTTTATTATATTTCTTATTTTATAATTGTGTTGTTGCATTTCCACTTTCCTGTTCCTGTGCATGTGCATTGGATCAGGTATTTCTTTTTTATTGTTAATTTTATTACACTTGTTTTTTCATGTTGCTTTTATCATGTGTCTGCTTTCCTGTTCATGTGTGTGTGGACAATCCAATGCATTGGATTAGTATGACTGATTATTTCTCTTCTCCTTATGCAGGTCTCAATCTATGCATGATCTTGGCATCAACCAGAACAACTACCTTCTCAACATCAACAATACAGCAACCCAACTTCACCACTTGCATGGCATTGGCATATTCATCACCAGCAACCCTCTACACCTTGCATCCGCGCTCACACATCATGCCAACCTTGAGTACAAGCTCACACTCACCTTCCACTTCTCCAAGGTTGCCTACACCTCTGACCACCTGGCACCTCCTCATGTCAGTGGCTTCTTTGTTGTTCTCTTCTGCCACACTGACTGCCCCTTCAACACCATCTGGGTTCCAAGCCCTCCAATTGGTGCTCCTTACTACTACCTCTCCCACATTCCTCTACCACCTGCCAACAAGGACAACATCAAACCTATTCCAGCAAGCCTTGCTCTCATGGCTGAGAACAAGGTGCTTCTGCATCCCTGCTTCTACAGCTTCCTCCTCACCAGCATTGACTTCCCAGCCACCACTGAGGACCACATCCACACAGTCTATGACACCCAACCCACCTACAACATGCTGCTTCCCATCAGCATTGTCATGAACTACTGGTACCTCCTGCTGTTCACCAACAAGGCCTCCAACTTTGAGTACCCACCCAAGGACTATGTGACCTGGGCCATGCACTTCCTTGCTTGAGGAGTGGATGACAACCCTCCAGAGCACAACCAATGCCTTCAACACCCTCAACCATCCCCTCCTCACTCCCTATATTCTGCCCTCCACACACCTAACCCCCACTTCCAGTTGCAAGTCTTTCAATTGGTGAGCCCATTTCTTAATAAACAAATAAACCTCTTTACTCACCCCTCTTCAGTCTAACTTCTACAACACCTCAGTATTCCCAGACATCACATTTCACAAGACCACCCAGATTTGCACAACAACACAGCTCTTGATTTGTACATTTCAAACTCAACCATTTCTCTTTCTGCAGGATCTGCACATAAAAAGCTGAAAAAATGGCAAAAGAGTCACTGACCCTTTTTCATGAACACTTGGTTCTCAGGTTTCATGTGGGATTTGCAGTGGAGCAATGTTGTGGTTGTTGTGGATCTTCTGACAGGGAACCTAGAATGTCAGTTTGCGCCAGGTGTCAACAATGAAGCTTAGGAACTCCAATTGTTGGGTGGGCGCCCCTCTTCGTCATTGTCACCATCGCAAGTAATAAAATTGAGTTTTAGCCCCCTTTTGTTTGTTTGGTGTAGAGAAAGGTGATGATCGATCACCATTTGTTGTGGTTGACGATGCTGTAGAGAATGGCACCCGCCACCGTTACGAGGATGCCCAGGGCGCCCATGAACGAGACACGCGTGTTGAAGACGGCGATCGAGAGGAGGATCGTCAGGA